ACTACCAGCACCAAAAAACATAACCAAAAATACCTAGAAGTGGGCATTGTATAATCACCGATGTCACCAGTTTTTCAGGCGCTCATTCTCTCTCTCAGCACAGGTGTAGTTGTGTGTAACCATGTGTGCACTCACACATGAGCAAGGCACAGGACTGTCTGGTCCCCTGCCCTTTACAGTAATCATCTACCCTTTTATTCCTTGTTCCTCATTCCTAACCCCTAGCAACTACTAATTTGTTATCAATTTGAGATGTCATTGCAGTGATGATAAATGGAGTCACACATCACCCTTGGAAGTGACTTCTCTCACTCAGCATACTTCCCTTGAGATCCATCCAAATTGTTACATGTATCACTCATTCATTCCTTTTTCTTGCTGAGTAATATTCCATGATTGGAATGTACCACAGTTTAGCCATTACCCTACTGAAGGACATTTGGATTGCACCAAGTTTGGGGATATTACAAATAAAATACCTATGAACATTTGTGTACACGGTGTTGCCCACGCTGACCTTGAACTCGGGCCCAAGTCTTTTGGAACTGCAGGCATGAGCCCCATGTCCTTCTCATTTGTGTACAAGTCTCTGTGTGGACATAAATTTTCATTTTTCTAGGGTCAATGTTCAGGAGTGGGTTGTTTTTTAAGCAATGAGCCAAACTGTTTTCCAGAGCGGCTGTACCATTTTACATTCCCACCAGCAACGCTGGAGAAACCCAGTTTCTCCACATTCTCCATTGTCACCAGAAGTTAAAAGTCATTATTTTGTTTCATTGTTTTTATAGGCGTGTAATAACCTCCTGTGGCTTCATGTGCATTTCCCTAATGGCTGAAGGTGGATGTTGAACTTGTTTTCATAAGCAACACATAGGAACATACATGTTGATCTTTTGGTTTTTATTGTATTTCAAGAGTTTTTTAAATATATATATCTGATATATGAATCCTTTGTCAGGTATATGGCTTGCAAATTAAAGTAATTTAAATAATTAAAAATAATTTCATTATGCTGACTGATGGTGGTGGCTCACAGCTGTAATCCCAGGTACTCAGGAGGCAGAGATCAGGAGAATCGAGGTTCAAAGCCAGCCCTGGGCAAATAGTTCTTGAGACCCTATCTCGAAAATGCCTAATATAAAAAGGGCTGGTGGAGTGGCTCAAGGTGTAGGCCCTGAGTTTAAGCCCCTGGACTGAAAAAAAAAAAAGCCACTAAAATTAAAAAAGGGCTGGGGGTATAGCTCAAGAGGAAGAGTGCTTGCCTGGCAAACTCAGGCCCTGAGTTCAAGCCCTAGCACCGCAACAACAAGAAAGTTTTGTTAATTGTGATGAAATCCAATTACCGATTTTTTCTTTTATGGATTATCTAATATCTAAGAGCTCTTTACCTAGCCCTAGGCTGTAGAAATTCTTTTCTTTTCCTAGAAAATTTCAAGTTTTACCCTTTAATTTTAAATCTGCAACCATTTTTATATGAATTGTGTGATTAACTTATTGAAAAGACTATCCTTGTTTTTGGTGATACTGGGGTTTGAACTCCAGGCCTTCACCTTGAGCCACTTCACTAGCCCTATTTTTGTATTGGGTATTTTTGAGATAGGGTCTCAAGAACTATTAGCCAGGGCTTGCATCCTCCTGTTCTCTGCCTCCTGAGTAGCTGGGATCACAGGCATGAGTCACCCGCGCCCAGTTGAAAAGACTATCCTTTATCAAAAGTTTTATTTTGATGAAACTGGGGTAGGAACTCAGGGTATCACACTTGCAAAGCAGGCACCCTACTGCTTGAGCCACACCTCCAGTCCATTTTGCTCTGGTTATTTTTGAGATTGGGTCTTGTGAACTATTTGCCCAGGCTGGCTTTGAACCTGTTTTCCTGATCTCAGCCTCCCAAGTACAGGTGTGGGCCACCATTGCCTGGCTATCAAATGTTTTAAAATCAGTTGTGAGTAGAGTGTGGTGGTGCAAGCCTGTAACCTCAGCACTCTGGAGGCACAGGGAGAAGGGTCAGTCTTGAGTTCAAGGCCAGCCTGGGCAATATAAAGAGACCATTAAAAAAAATTGGAGGATGGAGGGGGATAAATAATGATGGAGTGGGTGAATTCAACTATGATACATTTTATATATATACATATGTATGTATATATATATAATATAATTATATACATATACATTTTCATGTAGTACTGGGGTTTGAACTCAGAGCCTCACAGCTTGCTAGGCAGGAGCACTGCCACTTAAGCCACTCCACCAGCCCTTTTTTGTGGTTTTTTTCAAGATAGGTTCTTGTGGAACTATTTGCCTGGTGCTGGCTTTGAACAGAGATCCTCCTGATCTCTGACATAAATCACCAGTGCCCAGTTTACTTGATATATTGTAAGAACTTCTGTAAATTCCACAATGCAACCCCAGCACAATTAAAAAAAAAAAAATCGGGCCAGGCACTGATGGCTCCCACCTGTAATCCTAGCTACTGAGGAGGCAGAGGTCAGGAGGATTGGGGTTCACGGCCAGTCTGGGCAAACAGTTCAATTGACCCTGTATTGAAAATACCCAACAGAAAACAGGGCTGGTGAAGTGGCTTAAGTGTTACAGTGCCTGCCTAGCAGGCATGAGGCCCTGAGTTCAAACGCCAGTATTGCAAAAAATAAATTTTAGAAAATGAATTGTCCTTATGTAGGTTGACCTCCCCTCCCCTCTCCTCATTTTGTCCCATCCACCTATTTGTTTATCCCTCTGCTCATTATCATGAGTAAGCAGCTATGTGTTACATCTTAGTATCGGGTACAGGGATTCTTGCCAGTTCTTTTAGGAAGTGGTTTTTGCTACTGTAGTTCTTTTGCCTTTTCATATACATTTTAGGATAAGTAGGTTCATGTCTTTTTTTTCTGGCAGCACTGGGGTTTGAATTTAGGGACCCATGCCTGCACTTGAGCCACTCCACCAGCCCATGTTGTGTCTTAAACAAAACAAAACCTTTCCTGAAACTTTTGATAGGAATTGCATTAAACCTACAGACCAATTTGGGAAGAAACACCTTACTATGTTAAGTATCCCAATGGAAGAACATGCTCTTTATTTAGATATTAGATATGATTGTAGTTTTCAGCATACAAGTCTTGTTAAATTTATACTTAAAAACTTATTTCATTTTTGATCAGAAATATTTTTAATTTCTCTGTATTCATTGCTAGCCTACAGAAACACCATTTTCTGTATTTTTTAAAAACATGGGTCTTGCTATATTGCCCACTTTCAGTGCTCAGAGGACTTTTCTGTCTCAGCCTCCTGCATAGCTGGGGCTATAAGCATGAGCTGCTGTGCCCGGCTTATGCAGTTGTTTATGTCGGTCTTGTCCTTCAACCCGCTGAATTGAGTTTGTTTTTTGGAACATTTTTGGGATTTTCTACATAGATTTCCATCAGATCATCTTTCAGGGAACTGTTGAGCAAAGGAAGAGTGGGCTTCCTTGCTGTGTCCTATCTCAGGAAAGCAGCTGGGCTTTCACCATGGAGCACAGTTAGCTCCAGAGCCTTTTGTTGATGCTCCTTGTCAAGTTAAAGCAGTCACCTTCTTTTCCTAGCTGGCTGAATTCTTATTTTTTTTTGAGTCACAATCTTACTATGTAGACTAGGCTGCAACTCTCAGTCTTCCCGCCTCTGCATCCTGCTGGGATTATAGACATGTACTCTCACACTCCAGTATCTGGCTGTTTATCATAGATGAAAAGGTAAATTTTGTCAAAAAATGTTTTGCATTAATTGATATGAACATGTGATATTTTCCTCAGCTTTTAAAATCCTAAAAAGAGCTTTGAGACTTCCCTGCTTCACAATTTCCTCAGCCCTCAAGGGCCCTGGGAACTCACTTGCTACCCCTGGCCTAATCTACCATGTCCCTTTGTGCTCTGGGGTATGTACCTTTGGCTGTACAGGTGGCCAAATGAACAAACCAAATGTAGGAAATACAGTGTGTAAAATCTATACAAGTACAGCAGCCAAAGAGCCAGGGAGCCCTGGGATGAGACTCCTGTTACTTGACCGACTTGTCTGACCACAGCCCTTGCTTTACCCCCACTGGACTTGTCCTGAAATACACTTAGGCCACATCTCAACTGATCCTGACCCTGGTTTGCAGATGATCCAAAAACTGAGAGATGCGTCCTGACCCAAGCTCCAGCTAGTGGCACCACAGATACAAAGTCCCAGGCCTCCCAACCCAGGTTTCTGCTCCTCCAGACCATGCTGTTTGACATGCACTAGTCAGCCAACACTCCTGCAGCACCAGACACCATTGTGGTAAGAGGAGCACAGCCATCACGTCAGGCCCCTGTGGTGTCGCCCTGGTGGCAGCTTCATCTCCACAAGCCTCGGTATAAGGTGAGAGGTGCAAGTCCCTGTTCAGTGGGTCTAAGGGTGGGTGGTAGGTACAGCAGGCCTGACCATCTTGCTGCTGTAGTGCAGACAGAAGCCTCGCAAGTCAGGTTTGGGCACGCAACCAAAGCTGGCTACCAAGACTGACTCCACAAATCCTAATGGATTCCCTAAGAAAGTGTTTTCCCCCCAGAGATGATACCAACATTACGAGGTAAGAGACCTTGTTTCCTGATGACAGACCCAAGTCCCCTGAACCAGTCAGGGGTAGGCAACAACCTACCTCTAGTTTATTTTCTTGTGGTGCTGGGGATAGAACCCAGGGCTGGCATATGTGAGGCAAGGGCTCTACCAGAGCCACAGCACAGCCTCTACCTCAGTTTCATGGTCAGGATCACTACGGGATGTACTTCCTTAAACCAGCTAGACAGGATACTGTCACTTACCAACAAAATCCTGACTGAGTCAAAGTGAGGCAAATGCCCCAGAAAAAAAGTAACCACTGTGCTGGCTTGGCAGTGCTCCTGAACAGGGGATCCACAGCAGCAAGTGCTTCCGCCCCCATCTCATCATGTCCCCTCTGCTCCCCACCCCCATCTTTCTCTGAAAGAACACATGCAGCCGAAGGCAGCTTTGTGACACTTGGTATACATCATACATTTATTAGTGAATATCCCTCTGAAATCAGCAACAATATTAAAAAAAATAATGATTGCACTACTTGGTCAAGCAGAACTAGCAACTTTCATTTTAAAAAAAGTACAAATCTGTTAAAAATTTCAATCAGTATACACATATATATAATACAACATACTAGTCATGTTAAATGCTACAAACCAATGTGAATCCAATGGAATGGGAAAAAAACCACACATTTAAGCTTTAAGAACCATTTTTTTCTCTATATATTAGCATTTTCTCAAATACATATATGGGGAAAATGAGGTAACTGTAAAATGTGCAAGGAACAGGGCCCCCCAAAATTACATATATTTCTACATATATGTAATTACATATATATAAAACCTTTTTAACACAGAACACAGGCGCTGGGCCCAGCCAGTGCTGGGGGAAGGTGCCCACTGTCATGCCTAGGCCGGAAGTTGGTAAATAAAGAGAGTAAACAGTGACAGCCCCACCACAGGAGATCATTGGTAACGTGGCATCTATAGCAAGGTCAGCAAATCACAAACATCCTAAATAATTGTTTCATAAATCTTTTTTTTATGATTTTTTTTTTTTTTTTAAAAATGCTGTTCCCCCATTAGCTGCCCGTTGGAATCACCTCTGCAGCCAACACAATCCATGAGCCGTTTCCACCTGCCCCAGGAAGCATAAGGGTTTGAAAACCTTTTGTTGGGGTGGGGAAGGGAGGGGGGTTGGAGAGGGTGGTGCTCTGTGTAAAACACGTGGGTTTTTCAACACTGCTATAAATATATAGAAATGTCACCTGGAGTTATATACAGTAAGACTTTGGGTTCTCCACGGGGTGGGACCAGGCTGATGGGTCCCATGGCAGGCTGGGATGGGAGGCAGGGAGCCAGGGCCGCTGCGGGGAGAACGAGGGTGGTTGGAGCATCCCTGAGGCAGCAGGCGCCAAGGGCTGCCTGCTAGGATGTGCCGCCCCACACGCAGTTCGTTCAGGGCAGCAACCCCAGCTGGGGTACAGAAGGGAATAGAGCCAGGGAAAGAGGAAAGGGAGCTTGGCTGGGCCCTACAGGCGTCTCCTCTAGACTCTGGAAGACAGGGACCAGGTTGGGAGGGAGTCCCCTGGCCCTCTCCCTGGTCCCTGTCTTCCTGGGATTCCTTGGAGAGTCACCCAGGCAGGTGGGAGATGGGCCCTGTCTGGAGAGGAAGAAATGCCCTGAAAAGCGTACGGTCCCTGGTAGGCTCTAGGGACATGTGCAGTACAGTGCATGGCAGTTGTCAGCTGAGCACAGACCCCCAACCCTGACCCATGACCGCCAGCCACCCAGTGCAGCGCCAGCTGCACACATACATGCAGGCCAGGCAGCACCACCTGACCTCCTTGGCACCCCCTGGGCATTCAGTCCTGGTTGGTCCCAGTACCCTCCCTCCTTCAATCAAAAGAAAAAAATTGTCTTAAATATCCACACCCCCAAATTCTACACACAATTTTGGGCCAAATGAATAAACAAAAACTGCTGCGCCTCACATTCATGCAAAAATGACAGAGTGGGGATATCAGGCATGGTTGGACCCTGTCACTGGTGGAGGAGCTGTCACCAGAACACAGGGACTTGCTCTGCCCAGCATGGCCCTGGGGCACATGGGCCCCAGGTGCTCAAGAAGCCTGGCTGGGCACGCCTTCCAACCTGGGGCTGGAATGCTGTGCCTAGGCTGAGGGTCCTCAGGGAGCCAGACTCACTGCACAGCAGTCCAGGTGGGCTGGCTGCCTGAGTCTCTCTGGGGTCCAGAAGGACAACTCAGCCCTGGGACTTAGAAAATGGCCCTAGGCCACTATCTCACCGCATACCTGGAGCAGTGCCACCTGGGCAGTGGGCACAGCATTTCAGTGCAGAGACTAGGTGACCCAGGATAGCGACCACTTTGCTCACCCTGGCATCAAGGATTCCTCCAGCCACACTGAGGGAGCAGACCCTGGCTCCCAGTGCCGGCAGGAAGGACCACCCTGGGGAAAACAGGAGGGAGACTGAGGTGGGCACACCCAGGCAGCTCCATGGTGGGCACAGGCAGGCAGATGGGGTAGGAGTCTTTGGAGCTTGGCAAATGCAGGGGGCTTATTGCAGGCGCTTCTCGTGGGGTGACCCTGTCACCAGCTCTGGAGTCGCAGGTGGGAACAATGAGGCAGGCCTGGCCCCCTCCATCCCTAGTTTCCAGAGCTTCGGCCAGGGTTCTCATGGGCAGCCGTAGGATCTCACTCAGTCTCCCTGGGCACCTCAGAGGCGTCGGCCCGGCAGATGGGACATGTCCGGTTGGCCTGCGGAGGACAGCCTTGAGTCAGGTTTCATTCTCATCAAGCCCCATCCCACTGGTTTCTGTTCAGCTGCCTAGTGAGGATGTGAAGGAAACTCCATACCTGCCCACCCCCTCACCACACCATGGCTGGGACACTGGAGAGCCCACACGGCTGCCTACCTTCAACCACTTGTCCACACACTTGGTATGGAACTCGTGGTTGCAGGGGAGGACTCGGAGCAGCTGTCGTGCCTCAAAGTCACTGAAGCAGACCACACACCTGGAGAGGGGCACAGAGTGTCACCCCTGTGCAGACCGCTGACAGAAGGCTCACCAGAGGGTGGGTGTAGCCCAGTGGTTCTGGGGCAGGGTACTCACAGCGTCTGCTCTGACTGGTGACTGTCCGGGTTAAAGCGGTAGGACGGGAGCTGCTCTATATCTGCTTTGGTGAGGCCTCTGGGCTTGGCATCTCCCAGCCGCTCCGCCAGGTTCAGGAGGGCCTAAACATGGGCAGGGGGGTGTCAGCAGTGCCGCGTGCTGGAGGGCCCCAAGCCCCGCCTCCCAGCATGGACGCCAAGGACCTCATAGTTCTCCATCTCTACATCGTCCACATCTAGATCCAGGCTGATGGTGGGTCCCATTGCTGTTGGTGACATTGGCAGCATCGAACTAGAGGGCAGGTAAGAAGGCCCAGGGTCAAGGTCAGTTGGGGGGACCAACTTCTCCCCTACTTCTGTCCACGCAAACAAAAGTCCAGAGCTCAGCACAGTGTACACTGAGGACCCTAGATTCTGTCCAGGACAGTGTAGGAGGAGCAAGGAACCCAACTGGGCACTCAAGACCGATTGCTGGGACCAGCGGAGGCCCCAGGAGAACAGGGCACCACACAGTGGGACAGACGTGCTGGTACTTACAGGAAGTAGGGCAGGAAGCTGGGGTAATAAGGAGGTGGAGGCGGAGGTGGGGGCAGTGGCTGCTGCAGGCGGTATCTTTGGGTGCCCAGTCTCCGTGGCATCATGTGGGAATATGGCTGTGAGATGGGGCAGGGCAAAGGTCAGCCCATGGCCTGCCTCTGGGTTGCCCCAGAGCCCGGGTAGGGGATGGATGGTGGCACTCACCACACCAAAGGACAGCTCCTGGTGTAGAGGATCATGGGGCAAATAGTGCAGGGGCACTGACGGCGACAAGGCTGGGCCGGGGGCAGAGGTGGAGTAGGTGAAGCTGCCCAGGGGGTGCTGGTCCCCCCGCAGGTCCACGTCATTGTCCAGGCGCTGCAAGGGCTGGAAAAGGCAGGGGTGGGTAAGCCACCGTTGGTGACAAGGAGATTCCCCACACCCCTTCCCTCGCCATACCCCCCACCCCCAGCATCACAGCCACCCCCACTCACCATCCGTGGGTGCTGAGTCTGCAGCGATACAAACTGCCCAAGAGGTGCCATGTGGGCAGGCTGGGGTGGTGGGGCAGGCGGTGGGGGGTGCAGGATGTAGTGGTCACTGGAGATGAGGTGGGGGTAGGTCTGATAGGGCACAGGGAGCTGCTGCATGGTGCATGCCTGGATCAGCTGCTGAGAGAGGGGCCGGGCTGGACAACGTTCTGGGCTGGGCTCCATGCTTGTGACGAGGGCCAGGGGACACTCCACCCAGCAAAACATCCTCACTGCACACACAAAGCTAGGGGTGACAGCAGCTCTGAAGCCCTATCTTGCCCTCGGCCACCTGGGCAAGGTGCTGCACTTCTTAAGGCTCACAGCCTGCCTGTCCCCCAACGCTTCTGCCAATGCATATGGCAGGCACCAGGGCGCAGGGAGGTCCCTGAGCCCACGAACACTGTCCTTATGTGTGAACATGCATACTTGGCTGGGAAGGGCTGAGGCCTGGAGGCCAGGCAGGCACCCTGACAGCCTGCACAGACATGCTGGGACAGACAGCATGACCTGCGTCTGACGCAGGAGACAGCACTCACTCACCGGAGGTGGGAGGCAGCAGAGTGGGTAGTGCTGCCCACTGAACATCACGGAGCATGCTGGGAGCTGCTGGGCACTGCAGCCAGGGATGTGTTGGCCTGTAGGCAAGGGGAAGCCTTGGGTGGTCACTGTGGTGACTGTGTAGGACAGAGGGACAGGTCCCTGGTGCACCTGAGTGGAAAGAACACCAGTGAACTATAGGGAGGAAGCCTACCCATGTGGGCTGCCACGTGAGTCCTAGCAGGCTCAGCTCCCATCCCTTCTCAAACTAGGCACCTACCCAGGTACAGACCAGAATGTCCCCTGTCCACACACCCCAGGGAAGAAAGAACCCTCTGGGAACCCTCACTGTGTTGCCCTTCTCCAGGCCTGTTTACCTGACTATAAAACTAGGCTTGCAGAGCCTCCTGTTAACATGCAATGTGGAAAGCAAGGTGGAGTAAGGGCTGGTTGCCTGTTTCTCACACTGGCTTGCCACAGTTGAGGCTGCAGGGGACTGGGGAGGTGTCCTGCCTACCTGCTCGTGGAGATCAACCATGAACGGGCTCTGCTGAGAGGCTGGGTGCAGCATTCGGGGGCTCCTGCCGGCAGGAGCCGAGGCTCGGTGCTCCTCTATGGGGAGGTGTGGTGGTCGGGGCAGCGGCTGCTGGGAGGGTAAGCGCTCATCCTGGGCAGGCAGGCTGGCCAGGGGGCCCTGACGGCCGAGGCTGCACCACAGAGAGGAGGCCCCGGTAGGACGAGGGGGCGCAACTCACTCATAGAGCAGGGACAGAAGCCAGGGTCACAACCCCACTTGGGAGAGAAGATAGCTCATAGGGCCCTGTGCCCCACCCAAGCTGGCCACCCCAGCTGCAGGACTAGAAGCCTCCCCTCCTACCTTCCCCAGAGCTGGCCTGGAGTGCTGCTGGGCCCTGTGGAAATTTGTCGCTGAGCCACAGGGGCAGATGGTGGCCACCTAGTCACTGCCAGAGCCCATGGTCGCATCAGGGGGGCAGGGAGGTGGAGGGGCTGGGCCGGGGCTCACAATCCTAGGAGACAAGGAGACAAAGAAACTAAGGCCTGGAGAAACCCAGTCGATTGCCAAATAGGGGTCAGGGAGACCGATTCAACCACAGCAGCAATTCTGGGGGCTAGAGATGGTCATCACGTCCCTGCGACCAAGTGCCGATAGACCTGTGACAGACTCAGCCTGCAGGGAACCCAGGCCTCAGCTTCCTGCTCTGTGAAATGGGACCACGTCTCCTCAAGATTTGTGACAAGTTCACAGGCTTGAGCCTGCTTCTGGGCCAGGTGGTTCTAGGACACTCTGTCCTGGTATGAGAGATGGGGGCAAGGATCACCCTCAGCCTTGTGCCAGGGGCATGTATTCCTCCTTTCCTCCTGGCTGGCTCAGAAAGGATCCCAAAGAGGCCTGGGGCCTGGTTCTCCTCCCCCTATATCCAGTAAGAAGTTCTGAAATGAGCTGGAGGAGAGGTTCAAGTGGTTAAGAAAGCCCGCCTAACAAGAGTGAAGCCCTCAGTTCAAACCCCAGTTCTGCCAAAAGAAAAATAAAGTAGTTCTGACATAGTGGTTCCTTCCCCGGGGAGTGTTCAGTCCAAAGTAACTTAGTATTCTTTCCTTCTCTCACCTGTTCCCACAGTGCCTAACAGGGGTGACTTCAGCTACTATTTAAGGAAAGTATCATTAGCACATTTTCCTGAGGTTCAGCTAAGCAAAGAGACCTGCCCCAGGCCCCACAGTATAAAAGCTAGGAGAATGGGCCAACTACAAGCCTGTCCCCAGAGGGCCAGCCCAAAGCTTCATAGGAGGTAAGGAGGGAAGCTGGCCATTGGTAGCCTGCTGGATCTGGTAAGCAACAGGCCTCTGCTCTGGAGGCCCCACTGTAGCCCCCAAAGTGGGTGGTGGGGTCTGCTGAGAAAAAGGGGAAACGAGACCCTAACAGAGAGAGTTGAGTAGGAATGGGTCAGAGCATGGAGTTACCCATTAACTCTAGAAGTTGGGAAGAGACCCTGGCAGGGAACACTCTGTAATTCTCAGGCCCTGCAAAAGCTGGAGGGTACATCAAACGGGGACCAAGAGCAGCAAGAACCATTTCCTTTCTGCTGGGCCAAGATTGGACCCTACCCTGAGTCTGCACAAGGGTCCCTTCTCCACTTTACATGGCAGTTCACACCGCTGGGAAGTGTACAGCTGGAATTCACACTTCTTCTTTGGGGGGCGGGCAGTACTGGGGATTTGAACTCAGGGCCTCACACTTGCTAGGTAGGTGCTCTACCATTTGAGTCCTGTTCTGTGTTGGGTATTTCTGAAATAGAGTCCCATGAACTATTTGCCCAGGCTGGCTTTGAACCGAGATCCTCCTGAGGAGCTAGGATAACAGGCATGAACCACTGGCACCTGGCCTAGAATTTACACTTCTGCTAACTCTATGGCTTGATCACCCAGCAGAGGGGGTGGGCAGGGCCCAGGATGACAAATGTGCACTTAAGAAAGTTTATCACACAGGCCCAAAGCACAACCTGGCAGTGATCATGTTGGTGCCAGTGATTAAAAGCCGAGATTCTATGCCAGGCACCAGTGGCTCACGTCTGCAATCCTAGCTACTCGGGAGGCAGCAGAGATCAGGAGGATCGAGGCTCGAAGCCAACTCCGGGCAAACAGCTTGCGAGATCCTATCCCGAAAAAATGCATCATAAAAAGGGCTGGTGGAGTGTCTCAAGGTGTACGCCCCAGTTCAAGCCCCAGTACGGGGCACAAGAGACTAGAATATTACAAAAAGCCCCTGGCCTTTGGTGGCAAGGGGAAATCTGGTCCCATTGGGCTCATTTTGGCCTCACTTGAAGCATGAGCTTTGATTCTAGGTCATCCAGCCCATTCTCTGCCTGCCCACCGTTGGTGACTGAGTTTGTGACCCTCAGCACAGGCTAAGTGCACATCGTTAGGCACATGTGCATACACAGCCCCCCTACTTCCTGCTGCCAATCTAGTCAAGCAAACAAAGGCCAAGGGAGGCTCAGAGGAAACCCCAAATAACTGAAACAACAGACCTCTGCTCACTCTAGACCTTCTGGGTTAGAATCTTCGGATGGCTGGCAAATAAGGGCACCTGGATTTTTACCATCAAACTCCCCAGCAGTTCCTATGGCATGGCCTGGTTTGGGAAGCTTGGCCCTCGCTGACCTCAGAGATCCTGGAAGCCTGGGGCTCTGCAAGTGAGGAATAGTAATGATAAGAACTGAATTTCCCACAGGCCAACTTGGCATTCTCAAGGCCACCCTTGAAGGTAAGAACATGGAGGCTCAGAGAGCTGAGGTAAATAGTCAGCTGGAGTTGTGAGTGCTCTGGCCGTGACCTTTGTCTGACTGTGAGCACCCAGGATTAGCCACCAAGAGCGTGGCAGCCAGTGTCCTCAATTGCTCCTCCCGAGCCAGGCTGCTAAGTGGTGCCAAGACTCAGGGTAATGACCCCAGGGGTTCAGGTCTATGGGAACGTGCTCTGTGATCAGCCCCCTACAAGGGTACCCACTTCTTAGGGAAGGGAAGAGGGTGAGGAGCTGAAAACCAGACCACCAGAGGGCATCAAATTGTGGGCGATGGTGCCAAAAATCATCCTGCACAATCCAACACCTAACACCCCCAACTTCTGGCCAGCGTTGGCCGAAGACCTTGGTCATATGGTTTCCTGTGAGTTCCAGATTCTTCATCTACAAAGTAAGAATAATCCATTATCTATCCTCAGAGCACTGCCAAAAGGACTGTCCCAAAGGCACAGCAGAATCCACTGCAGTGTAAACACTAAACTCAGGTGGGGTGTGACTGATCACTATTGGAAAGACATGCCGAGGGCTGGCAGAGCGAGCAGATGCCCTAAGTTCAAACTCTAGTACAGTCAAAAAAGAAAAAAAACACTGGGCACCAGTGGCTCATGCCTGTAACCCTAGCTACTTAGGAGACAGAGATCAGAAGGATCGAAGTCCGAAGCTAGCTCAGGCAAAAAGGTGCAAGACCCTATCTTGAAAAACCCCCATCATGAAAATAGGGCTGGTGGAGTGGTCCTGAGTTAACCCTGGCACCGAAAAAACAAACAAGACAGACCCCCAAAAGACATGCTGACCTCTATCCCCAAACACCAAGTGGAATTTGGGTACCCCCGCAAGTGCTGCAGCAGGCAGAGAAAATATGCTAGAAGGGAGGAGTTCCTGGAAGTCCTCCCAGGAACAGAGGGGACACACCCACCTCACAGTTGACCAAACTGAGGCCCAGAATAAAGAAGAAACTGGCTCTAGACCACAAAGCCAAAGAGGAACAGGATTTATCGGTCCTGGCTGGCCCCCTGGACCCAGGCTCCCCCAGCTGTGGCAGCAGCAGCCAGAGGAAAAGCCCTAGCCAAAAAAGGTGAGGAGCGCTTGTCTGCTGATACCTGTGAGTGACTGCTGTGGAGAAGTGAGGCTGAGCGCTAGTAACTTGTTCAAGGTCAAACAGCTAGGGTAGCTGGCTGGCCACTGCCTTTGTACACCTCCCACACTGTGCTCTCAACCGTCTTTGTAAATGTGTCTTCTAGTGTCCCATCTCTGAGTCCATCTTGTGTGGAGGCAGGCACCTCACTTTGCAGTTAAAAGCACCCCTATCGGCCCCCCCACCCCAACATGTCCAGTGCCCCAAGCACTACCCACCCTGGCCCAGGGAGTCCCTGCCCTGTCATTTGGGCCTGGGGTCAATTTGCAGGAACAGGCATTCCCTTTCGCATAAAAGCAGTCAAACCCTAGGGGCATGAGCAGGAAGAGAAGCCCTCCCCACCACTTCCCAGCACCACCCCCACTCCAAAGAGGAGCTCCCCAACGTGAGGGGCCGAAAGGCAGTTGAGGGCGGGAAGACCACACTCAGCCGGCTTAGACTCCCTGGGTGACCTTGGTCAAGGAAATCGTTTCGTTTCTGTAAGTCTCGGTCGCCGCAACTGTAAAGTGGGGATGGAAATCTCTCCTCCCCACAGCGACCCTAAAAAGCCAGAAGACACAAGACAAGAAGCAAGAAACCAGGTGGGCACAGTAGTTGGAGGAGGAAACCAGCATCCCCTGAGGGCAGGCTCCTCGCCAAGGCAGGCCAGACGCAAATTGTGGGGCTCCTTCCGGAGCTTCCAAAGCCACCCCTCCCTAAGGTTGGCTTAGGTTTCGACACCTGTCTCGAGAGGGCTTCCCTCGTCACCCTCTTACTCCTTTGTACCACGCTCGGAGGGACACTGAAGGAGAGAGGCCAGACTGCAGCGCCAGGGCCGGAGCGCTGTGACTTTAAGAGCCGAGGATCCCGGACCATGTGCTCGGCGTGAGACAAAAGCAACAACAAAGGAAGTGGCGGCCGCAGGGGGAGGGGGCGGCTCCTTCCTCTCCAACCGCAGCGCTCAGCCTCTGGAGAGGGGAGACCCGGCCGGCCTTGGGGGCCGCTGGGGGTCCCTGATCTCAGGGGCTTCGCCGCCCCCAGTCCGGACCGCCCTAGATTAACCCCTGCAGAGCCAGCTAGTTCACGGCCCCCATTCCCGAGGGTCAGGAACCGGAGTTTCAGGGGTGCGGGTATCAGGAGTTAAAAGGCCCTGGTCCGACTCACCTTCGGCCGCCCGGCCACACGCTGACTCCTTTGTTCGCAATCTAAGATGGCTAAGATGGGCAGGGGGTGAAAGGGGTGCTGCCTGGACCCTTTAAGAGTCCCCGCCCTGCGAAACAATGTGCTCCCCTTCCCACCCCCTTGTATGGGGGCAGCCCGGCTCCTTCCGGGGCCCCCTCTCTTTGTTGTCCGCTGGACGGCGTCTTCTTGCGAGGCCCACGCGCGGTCAGTCTCTCGGTCCAGGCCCTAGGGGAGCGGGAGGCGGCGCAGGACGCAGCTGGTTTGCGTGGCTGCCCCTTTAAGAACTGTCCGCGGCGGCCGCGGAATGTAACAAACCCCACATTTGATTCACAACATTCGAAGCAGCGGGGTCGCGCGCCGGGCGGGAGGGGGACTCGCGGGGGCGCGCCGGGAGGCTCCCGCAAACCGTAGAC